TCTTGCCCCAGGCAGCAGGACTTGCAGTGAATGCTGGATTTGAAGCTCTTTGGCCAAGGGTCTCCCCAGCACTTTTGGAGATGAAGTGTTTAAGGATAAAAGTTGTTTGGGCTTGACATGCAGCAAATATTTCCCATCCAACATGCTTTTCCTTTCCCTAAGTTGCCTGGCTAAATAGCCAGTAATACTAATCTAAAACGCTCTCATAAATCTCCACTTAGCTTTCATTGGCAGGTGAAGTGGGACTGCTGGTCCCCAGCCCCAGGTGCACCCCAGAGTCAAGGTTAGGCATTTGACATTGACTTCCATGTCCTTGAAGTTGGGGGCAGGGCGTCCTGGTTAACTGGTGTACCTGTTAACAGGGAGGTAGTTGTCTTATACCCGAGACTCAGGTCAGAGGCTTCCAGTCCAAATTCTTCATAGTTCATCCAGCAGGCTCTTTGTGAGCCTCAAAATTCTCTAAGGGAAGACCAGGTCAGAGTTGTGAGGAGGGGAGTACCTCTGGCTTTCTCTGCCCTCCTAGGACCCTTACCATGTGGCTCAAAGCTTAGGAACCCAGGAAGGTGCCCATAGGAATCTGGAGGACCCCAGCCACACTCAGGAGTTGTAGGCCTGCGTACTGTAGCCCAGTGGGATGGGGTACACCCTCTGGAATCAGAAAGTTTCTGTGACTCAGTTCCTTCACCTACCAATAGGGTTAATAATAGTACCTATCTCATGGTGGGTACGTGGATTAAGCAATATTGCATAGAGAAGACTAAACCCAAAGCCAGGCATGTGGTAAACACTTGATTAGTATTAGTCACTCTTACTATTATTATTAATGACCTGGACAGGGTCCAAATGCAGCTTTGACCTTTGATCTCTCCCCTTTAGGGTAGGCTGAAGAGCCAACTCCCTTCTCTGAAGAAGGGATCAGAAGGACCCTGCAGTTGCCTATGGGCAACCATCTGTGGGAGCAAGTGGACTGAGCTTTGCCCTCTCTGAGGTGGAGAGTAGGGTGAGAGGTGCTGAAGGACAAATAGACAAAGCCCCTTTCATTCTCCCAGGATCCCCTTGGTATGTGCCCAGAACTGGGTCTGGAGGGTGGGTGTGGGCAGCATGTTCTAGGGGAGCTGGGTGCACTCTGGGACACTTGGAATTGCAGGTGGGCACTGATGGGCGTCGAAGGAGAGTCCAGGCTTCCCTGTGCTTGGAGAAGCAAGTTTGAGGATCTGTGTGCACAAAATCATTTTTGTAACGGCAATTACTGTCCCTGAGAAGGCATTAAAGTTAATGAGAGATAGGAAAGAGTGGGGCTCTGACCCCCGTTTAAAGCCATTTAAGAGTATGCAGTGCTTGTTTTCTGAATGTCTGGCCTTCCCGACACAAGGAGGCTCTGAGGACAGGTTTTCCAGCCGAAATATCATTAAATTGTATTAGCATCTTATTACATACACGCCTTAGTGGTCTGCCTCAGACAGGGAGAGTTTTTGTTTCTCTTTGAAAGATTGTGTCTGGAATGGTAAATTGCCTGCTTGAAAGCCTCCCCCACTCCCCCTTTTTTAAGGAGGAAGACGAAATCCTGCTGTGTGTGGTGGCTGTCAGGGCAGGCCTGGTGGCCCCCAGAGAGGAGAGGCTGGAGGCCAGGTTGGGGTGTTTTAACTGCCCAGGGAGCGGCTGCAGTAGCCGGCCTGAAAGGCCCACTGTTCCAGGGTCAGCTGGAAGGGCGTTAATGGAAGCCCAGGGTGTTTATTTGAGTTTATTTGCAGAGAAGTCTTTAAAGGGGGCTGGCACTGGGCATTGATGTTTCAAGTCCAGACCCAAGGCCCCCACTAAGACCAGTGACTAGTGCTGCCAAGAAAACATCTGCCACCAAATTGCTGCCCTATTACTAAGTTGACATTGATCATTAGCCAGGAGCCCAACCAAATAAAGAGTCCTGGGAAACGTGTGAGGTTAAGATGGGGAAGAGGGCTGTGAAAACAGGACGAATCTTGGGCTGGGGTGTTTGTTCCTGCAAGCGACAGGCAGGCCCGCTGGGCCGGACGGTCCCCACACTTCCAGAGGGAGGGGACAAGAACACACTCAGCACTCTGCACGTATCGAGCCCCTATTCTGTGCTGAATGCTATGCACGGAGGGCAAGGGGGCCCAGCAGGGATCCAGACAGGCTTACTTTCATGGAACATATATTCTGGAGGAGAAGGATGTTGGACAAGTAGATTGGCAAACACAAATTATGATGGATGCTCTGAAGACGCTAAATAACAGGATGGTAAGCTTTCTTTAGATAAGGCACCCTGCATATGTGACATTTAAGCTGAAACTTGAAAAATGAAAAGTCAGACATGCATAGGCTGCATAGACCATTACAAGGCAGAGGGTACAGGCTGTGTACAGGTCTCAAAGCATAGGCTGTCAGGCTTGCTTCAGGAAATGAAAGGAGGCCGGTGTGGCTGGAAAATGGTGGAGCAGGGCTAGTGGTCGATATGAACTTGTTGAGTTAGGCAGATCATGTGGGGTCTTGTGGTGAGGAGCTTGAGTTTTATCCTTTGGTCAGTAGGAAGCCTTTGAAAGGTTTTAAATAGGAACATTTAAAATGTATACATTATAATTTATTTTATTTTAAAATTTTATTGATTTTAGAGGAATGGAAAGGGAGAGAGAGAGAGAGAGAGAGAGAGAGAGAGAGAGACATCGATCAGGTTGCCTGCTGTATGCACCCTAACTGGTAATCAAACCAGCAACCTGGGTATGTGCCCTGACTGGCATTCGAACCGGCAGCCTGTCGGTGCACAGGATGATGCCCACCAACCAGCTGAGCCACACTGCCAGGGCCCGGTTTATACTTTTTAAAGATCATTCTGGCTACTGTGTGGATCCCGGATTATGAGGGAGCAATAGTAGAAGTTGGGAGATAAATGAGGAGTCCAGGCAAGAGATGAGATGGCTTGGACCCGTTTGGTAGCAGTAGAAATGGGGGAAAGGTGGGTGGATTCATGGTGTGTTCTGGAGGGAGAGCCCACTTGCCGTGGGTTGCTGAGAGGCTGTGGGCTGCTGCTTCACTGAGGCGACCCTATGACACCCACACTCCCAAAGGCGAGCTTCCTATCTGTGTCTCCATGCTGGGGGCAGTGTGGGAGGTGCAAATGGAAGGGAAAATGACCCTTTCATTCCTACAGTCTCCTTTGTAGGTGGGGTTTCAGGGGCACTTCTGTCTCCAAAAGAAAGTGCCTTGTGACCCTGAGGTATTCTCCCAGAGCAAACCTTGCTTTGGGAGACACTGGAGGGGCCAGTGGAGAGGGAAAACCCAGAGGCCAAGATCAAATCTCAGCACCCCCAAACCCCACCTGCATTTGCAGTCTTAGACTTCAACTTTGGTGAAGGAGTCTTCCCTGTACCCCTTGCTGGGGTGGAGAGGGGGGTTCAGGGGGCAAGGGGCTGTCCCACAGGGGAGCCCAGGCCTCACTGGGGCTTCATTAGCCACTGACAGTGGAGGCTCACCTGAGGCAGGGAGGCCTTTGCAACAGACATGGTTCAAAGGAAGGAAGCTTCCCTTACAAACGGTGACTATCCTCTGAAGCCTAGTTATTATTTCAATTAAACCACCACAAAATCTGCACCCTTAATAACACCCTGCCCAGGAGGACTCGGGATGTTCCACAGAGGGCAGGTTGGACAGGGACCTGGTGAGGGCGGGGTGCCAGTCCGCATCCTGGCAGGTCCTGGGCAGCAGGGAACAGCATTCGGAGAAGGGTGTCGGCAGTTGGGTCCCGTCACAGAGGCCCTTCCTTATTGTACAGGGTCACCGCTCCCTCTGAGGACCCCGTCAGGTGGGCACTGGTAGGAGGGCTCTCCACCTGGCCCAAGGCTGCATGGTATTAACTAGCATCTATGTGGACAGCCAAGGGCTTTATGCTGCTCTCATTTCTTCTCACCAGCTGACTCTGGCCCACAGATGTATTTAGTTTGGCCCCCTGAAAGTGTTTTTAAAATCCTGAATCAGCTGCCAACATTTTCAGTTCAGGAGATTTATGTAAAAACGCAGACCCAGTTGTCTTTCCCCTGATCCCTGGTCTAGTGGGGGCTGTGGCTTTTATGCTATGGGAGAGCCTGGCTTGGAAGTGACCTCTTTGCTAGAAATGAAGAGAAATGCAATTCCTGGACAGCCCATTGCAGGGGAAACAGGTGGATGCAATTCTAGCACCTCTCTTTGACTTCTACCCGCCTGTGATAGGGCTGGGTTAGCAAGATGTAGGTTAGAGGGCTTCGTTTAAACTCACCCTCAGACCCCAGAGGACAGCGACGATGGGTGGCTGCAGGTGGTAGAGCATTATTGCCTGCTTGCACTAGGCTGCACAGAGGCAAGGACATCTAAAGATTGTTCATGGTCTCCTGAATGACAGGCTTCTTAAAGCACTGCAATCCAGGGCAAACCACTTAACCTCTTGGCTTTGTCTTCATCTGCAAAAGGGAAGCAGCTGTCTTGCCCACCTGTACCAAAGGTCTGTTCTGAGGGCTTAGTAAGGCCCCTGTGTACCACGGTGTCCCCCTTCCCTGCCGCAATGAGTTGTTCCCACCTTCCTGCCATCCATGCACCTGGTACCACCAGGCATCCCTCCATCCCTCCACCCTCTGCAGAGCACTTGTCCACACCTTCAGAGCTGGGCAATAAGCAGCCCCAGTGAACCTTCCTGTCATCCTGATCCTGCTGCTGGGGGACATGGGGGTAGAGAGAAGCTCCTGGTTCTGGTCAAGCTCCAGGCAGGCGGGTCCTCCTGGTCAGCTCAGAAGTCTAGGTAGTCACCCCTGCCTGATGCTCCCGGTCCCTGCAGGCCACAGGAGGAGGAGGGGACCCCAGGCCTGGCAAAGGCGGATTTGGGTGGTGGCAGATAGTAGATAGGATCATAGGCGGGGTCGGGAGCCTGGCTGGCCTGCAGCTGGGCTGGGCAGTGGGGCTCTTCCCTGCTGACACTGGCTCCTTGCCGTTTGCTGTGGGCAGTGAGGCAGCCCAGGTTCCAGACTCACAGGAACAGGAACATGGTGGAAAGTGCTCTGGGCCCTGAGCCCCAGATCTGTTCTCACATTAGCACTCGGCCACCAACTAGCTGAGACCCAGAGCAGGTTAACAAGCCCTGGGTGTGCTCCCCTCCAAGGGGACAGGAGCAGGCTCTGCCACCCAGGACTCTGTAGGATTAGAGGAAATAGTGGGTGGGAAAGCACTTCCAACAGGCAGGCGCTGAGGAGGGCACAAAGGCGGCTCAGTGTGGGCTCAGGGATCAGCCCACAGGCATTCAAATCCCAGTTCAGACAGTTACTAGCAGGACAAGGCACTGAGCCTCCCCAGTAACTGAAGCAAATAGCTCAGAGCTCACCGGGTTGTTAGGAACTGGAGATGGCTGAGATAGTGTGGGTAGAGGAATGAGCGCAGCATGGGAGAGCTGCCCTTCTTACCTTGAAGTTACGTACTGTAGTGAAGATAAAGTTGGTTTGTACTTTTATCAGGAGAAGGACAGTGGGGGAGGGAGGGAGCCCAGCCCAGGGCCAGTCACCCTGGGCCTGGTGTGTCTCAGGGACCCAGCTTGGAGCCTCCCTGTACTCACCCCCTTTTCCACACTCCTGGCCGCTCCTCTCAGGATATGTCCTCAGTGCAGGCAGGACTGGCTTGTCCTTAAACTCAGATAGGATGGGCCTACTGCCTTCCCTTCTCCGCACCCGGTGAGGCACCAGTTGCAACTTTTACCTGGGAGTGGATTGATTTTCTGGTGAGCCTGAGTTTCCTGGGCAGGTCCTCTCAACTTAGACTCCTGCTCCTCTGAGGCTCTGGGCTCAGGAGATGGAGATGCAGCCTCCTCTCCCCTCCCTCATCCCACCCAGGGTGGGTGGGGTAGAGTGGGGCTGGCTGGGAGGGAGGCTACTGGTGATTTTCTGGGGGATTGAGGGTTTCCTGGGCTGCTTGTATAATGGGGCCTGCCTTTTGTTGCAGATGGAAGAGAAGAGGCGAAAATACTCCATCAGCAGCGACAACTCTGACACCACTGACAGTAAGGCCTTCCTTTTGGGGCTCCTCCAGGGAAAGCATGTGAATAATTTCCAGGCCCACAGATGGGGAGCGGCTGCCCGTGGTCTCAATGTTGGGGAAGGCATAAATGAGAGCAGGTCCCTCTGCTCCTAAGAAGGTCCCCACACGAAGGCCTTACTGTCCTCTTCACCCTCCCCCTGCCCCTTACCCTCTTGGTCTCGGCCCCACCTGCTTTGCTCTGTTTGGAACAGATCTGCTCCCCTCTGAGCCTTTGGATATGTAACTCCTGGCTACTAGGAGTACATCCCTCTCCCTGTGGCTCTCCTGTTGAGTCAGGGCACTATAGGAGGTCTCTACACAACCCATAGAAAATCTGTCACTGCAATAATTACCTGATAAGTATTACTACCTAACCACTGGCAAGCTCCCTGATAAGAGAGGTCACTGTCTTATCCCCAGCTAGATAGGTGCTCAGTAAATGTTTGCTGAAGAAATGAATGAAGCAGTCTGACCTTCATGGGATCTCAGAGGTAGACTAGTGTATGGCCTGGGGGTGTCGTTTGGATGTCTGGGGATGGGGGGATGTTGTCAAGGAGAAGATAGGGCTTAGGGAGCCTCTTCTGAAATTTGGGGGAGGTGTGTGTAAGGTGAGAGCTTTTCTCTAGTAGTAGAAGGCAGCTCTTCCTAGCTGCCCAGGAGCCTGGGCCTGCATGAGCTGGTTGAAGTAAGGAGTTGCATTCTGGCCTGTAGGAAAGACACACTGCCAGGGGCTCCCACGCAGTGGTGTTACCGGTGGAAGCCCAGGCTGAGAAAGAGGCTGCCTTGCCAGGGAGGCTGGGCCTGGAGCCCTGCAGCTCTAGACCTCGGTTTGTTCACATAGGTGGTGAGCCTCTGAGATTAAGGAGATCTCCAAGGCCCCTTAGAGCTCCCGGAGTTTCATATCTTCCTCCAAGAGCCTGTGGCAGATGCAATCCCATGGTGGGTCTGGTCCCAGTCCCATCCCCCCCTCCAGGTCCCATTCATCACTGTCCTTTGGGGGTCTGTTGGTTCACCTGGGCTCTGGTGTCTAACTTGGCCAGCCCTTCCTCCCTGTGGCAGGAGATCACAGCGACTGGCCCTCTGTGGCTGCAACCACACTGCCTGTGGCCTGGCTCAGTAGAGCCAAGAAGGACCACATCCTCTACTTCTAACTTTATTGCATGCAAAGGAGCCTGTGAGGGCGGAGCACCTGCAAGGGGTGGGCTTCTGGGCAGCTGAGCCCTGTAGCTGCCTGGGAGTTGGGCCAGGCTGGTGCATATTCCTTTGCCAGCAGCTCCTTTGACCCGTAGGGATAGAGGCCACAGCCCTGTAGTTCAGCAAGGGCCTTCGACCCTCGTAATAGTAGCTAATGTTTATTGAGAAGACTACAGGCATGATATCATCTCGTTCTCACAACAATCCTTTGAAGACAGTTAGTTAGCCTCTTGCCCCCATTTTATAGAAGAGCAAACTGAGGCTCAGAGAAACTTAGTTATTTGCCCAGGGTGACAAGCTAGTAAGTGGCTGAGCCAGGGTTCAAGCCTGGTCTGTGGGTCTACTTTAGAGCAGCACTATTCCCACTGCTCTGCCCAGCCTCTGTCCTCCCCGTGGGCATCACACCAAGGAGGAAGCAGAGGACAAGAGAGTGCGAGGGACCTGTCATGGGTCACATAGTAAGCTAATACTGAGTCCTGGTCACTGCCTTTTATTTCCCAAGCCCCTTCGGGTTGGTGGGTAGAAGGGGTTTCATGTCATCATTCATCATTGGAGAGGCCCAGAGCAGGGACAATGTACCAGGTACTCACAGAGGTGTCCACCTCCTGAAGCTGGAGCTTCCCTTCTATCCTTGGGTGTGGGGGGTGGTGTTCCTGGCCTCCCAGGGCCCCTCATGGGCTGTGTTCTCTCTGCAGGCCACACTACATCTGCCTCAAGATGCTCCAAACTGCCCAGCAGCACCAAGTCGGGCTGGCCCCGGCAGAACGAAAAGAAGCCCTCAGAGGTGAGTAGTGGCCAGTGTCCTAAAGAAAGGCAAAGTGAAGATGGGAGGTCACAGGAGCAGAGGCCTGGGGGAGTGAGCTCTGCAGATGTGTGGAAGAAGAGCACTCCTGGCGGAGAGCATTCCTGGCAGGGGGCACAGGCACAGGCACGCTAGGCCCATGTGGCTGAGTGAAATGAAGGCAGGGGGTGTAGGTTGTTGTAAAGATGTTTCTGTTGATCTGAGGATCTGAGTGAGAGAAGCCTTTCCAGGATCATAAGCAAGGTAATGGCAGTCTGATGTTTTAATGAAAGGTCCCACTGGCTGCCGTGAGGAGAAGGGGATACCGGGACACAGGTGGGACCAGGAAGGATTCTGATTCTTTTGCAGTTGACCAGGAGATAAACGATGGCAGCTTAGAGCCTGGGGTTGGCAGTGGAGTAAAAAGCAGTGGTATTCAGGACACTGTGGAGGCTGAGCAAGGGTGTCAGGATCGCTGGTGTCGGGGTGGAGGATGGGTCCCCATCATCCAGTTAAGTCATCTGCTCCTTATGCCCAGTTCACAGTGCCTGCATTTTAAGCCTTCCTTTGTTTGACCTGGGATGTTTCTTGTGGCAGGTAGAGGTATTTGGCTTCCGGAGCTCCCGGAGTTTCATATCTTCCTCCAAGATATGAAGGGGGGGGGGCAGTATTCAAAGCAGAAGAGGCCCCAGGCACAGATAAGGCTGCCAGAGCATTGAGTCTCTGAGAAGGTGGAGGGTCTGTGGAAAGGTTGAATAAGGCCCTTAAGAGAGGCATTGCTCTGCAGCCTTCAGAGTAGCTGGGCACTTTAGAGTGCTGGACACTTCATTTTTTTAATCCTTAAAAGTAGCCCAGAGCCCAGCTGGTGTGGCTCAGTGTTAAGTGTTGAGCCATGAACCAGGAGGTCATGATTTGATTCCTGGTCAGGGGTTCAATTTCTGGTCAGGGCACATGCCTATGTTGCAGGCTTGATCCCCAGTGGGGGGAATGCAGGAGGCAACTGATCAATGATGCCTCTCATCATTGATGTTTCTGTCTTTCTCTCTCCCTCTCCCTCTGAAATCAATAAAAATATATATATATTTTTTAAGTTAAAAAGTTTTTTTTAAGTAGTCCAGAGTTCTCAGTCCTGTGATAAGGAAACTGAAGTTTCCAAAGTTATATGGCCAAGACCTGAGGTTTGGGGGCCTAACAGTGCCCAGGGTGAGAAGGCCCTGAGTTCTGGGTCTGAGCCCTTGACTTGGGGCTGGGGGAAGTGTCTGTTCTGAGCCTGTGGCCTCCTCTCCCCTTTCACCCCTGGAGCGATCTCGGCTCAGCTGTCATTAGCCAGCCCCTAGGGGGGTCTTCCGCAGAGCCTTGCATTTGAAAAAGGACTCCCCGCCTCCTCCTGGAGCTGGCTGACCCTAACACTGTCCCTTTGTGGGGAGTGGGGAGCCTTTGAGACCTGATGCCTCCCACCCCCACCCCCAACCGATTGTCCTTCCTTGGCCCCATGGAGGAGGGGTGGAGCGGGAAGGAGATACCTTCAGGAATGCGGTTAGGGCTGGACCGGTTAGGGCTGGACCGAGCCTGCTTGGGAAGATTCTGTTCTTGAGGCTGGTAGTGCCCTCCTGGACTAGTCCTGCTCAGTGGGTGCCCTGGGAGGTGGGAGGCAGAGTGCTAGAGCCCTGGAACCCCTGGGACCACTCCTCAACTCCACTACCCCCCTCCCTTCTCACCCCCATCTTGATACCTGCAGGGGCTCCCCAATTGTTGTGACTGAATTAGTAAGACAATAGCCGCTTTCACACGTCTTGCGGTCCTGGGAGGCAGCAATTGTCAAGCCCCCTGTTGGAGCAGAGGAGCCTGCCGCTTTGGAGAAAGGTGGAGAAGTTCAGGGGAGCTCCTAGGGCTGGCTGCTCCCTCCTCGCCGCAAGCACCTGTGGGAGGAGGGGCCGGCTCTCAGGGCAGAGATCCCAGGGCCTGGGCTGCCATGACACCCAGGATAGGCTGGTGGCTGGGAGGAAACAGGTGTCCACGAAGGCTGAGGAGAAAATGATTTGCATGGGGCTGAAAATTCCCCTGCTTCTTGGGTTTTCCAGCTCAGAGCCTTTGAACCTCTCCCCACCCCCTGCAAAAAAAAAAAAAAAAAAATAGAGGCAAGTCATTGTAAGGGTGTTGGTGCCCGGCCCTGATGGGGACTGGCTACACGTGGCCCGGGTTCGAGCACAGGAGCCTCCCAGGGGGCTGTGCAGCCTGAGGGAGACACCCGACCTCAAGTCCTGGGCTCCGGGAGAGCTGAGGAAGTCTTCCCCGCCTTGAACTATGGCCAAGGACAGCTCTTCCTCCCACAGCAGGCTGGAGAGCAGCCTGTGAGGTTTCCCTCGTCCCCTAAGTGAGGAGGCTGAGCCATAGCTACCATACATTCCAAGCTATCTCGGGGCAGAAAGGAAACCGTCAATGAAAGCTTCCAAATTATTTGGCTCATGAGAAGGCGTAGATGAAAGCGAGGATTTGGCGGTACAGAACATTTGCACTAAATCTCGCTGGGTGTTGCCTTCTCTTTCTGTGAATGGTGTGGAGAGGAGGGCCCTTCTCGTCTGCTGGGCCTGGGGGCCCAGGGCTTTGGACCCCCTGAGGAGAGGGGATCTGGGAGCCCCATCTGCCCTGTCCCCCAGAGTAAGAAGCCTGTGGGGTGGTTGTCAGGCTGGTCACAGGGTCTGCTCCCAGTCTGGCCCAAGTTCCCAGCCAGAATACTTGCAAATTGATGTGTGTGGTGCAGGAGCCCCCTTGCTGGGGGCTCAGTGGTTCACTTCCTCGCCTTATCTCTCAACGTGGACAGTGATGGGGTGGGGTTTTGAGGACCATGAGTCCTTATCCGAAGCAGCACCACTAGCCCATAGTGAAGCCAACAGCTGTGGGAAGGACTGGGGTTGGGTTTAGAGAACCGAGGGGCTGCCGCTCTGATGGCCTGCCAAGGCCAGCCCTTCCCAAGTGCACCCTGAGGGTGCAAATCAAGGGATGCCCTCTACACCAGAGTGAGGTGCCCCAGGGCAGAAAAAGTGCTCCAGTCAGGACCCTGGACAGAGCCAAGGCCTTGAGGCCCAGATTCTCCTCCACCCTTAACCAGTGGGTGGTCTTTCTCAGCCAAAGTGAAAGGGGAGTGCAGGCCTCGGTCCTGGGGTGGCCCCAGAATTCCCTTTGGCAGTAGAGGGAAAAGTGGGCTGACCCCAAGGACACCAGGTGCTGCCTTCCTCTGCTCTGCCTGCCTGCAGTATCCCAGCAAAGCTGAGGTCTAGCGCTTGGGGCTTCAGTCAGCCAGGCCAGTCCTAAGGGAGGAGGAGGGGTTAGCCTGTCCTGGGGAGGTGGCATTAGTGCATAAATCTTGCTCTGGCCTTGAGTTTCTGGCTGACCTGTCTTACCAAAAGGCGTCATCATCATTGGTGCTTAACACTCTGTGGGTCATATCTCTGTGAATCTGATGGAGATCACAGACCACTGCCTATCCTACCTCACCCCCAGGAATTGTGACTTAAATGGTCTGGAGTGGGGCCTCAGGTACCTGTACTTTCTCAAAGCCTGCCCCCGCCCCCTGGAAGCCAGGGTTAAACACTACTGTCATAGCCCTTTCTCCCTAATATGCTAAGACAGGAGTTCCTGGCTTGGGCCTCCCTGGAAGATCCTGAGGTTGCAGAGGGGATGGGAGCCTGATTCAGTGACCTAAGAAAAGGCAGCAGGAGTGGGTGAGACTGTCACCCAGCTCACCCCCATCCCCACAGCAGCAGCTAGGGGACTGGCAGGTTTTTGCTAAGCCTTCCACCCTGGCAGGGCAGTGTCTTCCTCAGGCTGGGCAGAGAGGCAGATGGGAGGGCAGGACACCTGGTGGGGATTCCCCCAGTCAGGCTGTCTTGAAGTAGAAAGCTGTGTTTTTAGGAAGTCAGAGTCCCAGAACTCAGCCAGTGGGCAGGGACACTGATTAAACTCTGCCAGCACCTAATAGACCCTGCCCGGTGCTAGGGGAACAAAAGTTGCAGGCTCTGTCCCCAGGGAGCTTGTCCTCTGGCTGTCAGCAGGATGCAGGTGCTACACAGGAAAGTGTCTGTTACGAGAGGTGCAGCCAGCTTTGCCACTGAGGAACTCTGTGACCATGGGCAAATGACTGCTTCTCTCTGAGTCGTCATCAGTCGAGCCCAACCCTGCACCCTGCCATGGAAGTTCTGTTCTGTAGATGTGACATCCTTTCCTGAGGCCTGTGGAGCCTAGAAGTGGGAGTGATCCCAGAATGAGTGGAGGTGACCCTGGCCTCCCTGGGACAGAAGCCTGGATGGTCCCAGAACAGGGTGGGTGGGAGTTGGGATTCAACCATCAGTTCCTTGGTAGGCCCTGGCGACAAACTAGTATGTCTCTACATGAGGGGATGGGGCCTGTTTCCAGTTCCACAGAGGCCCTTTGTCAGTGCTCAGCCTCTTGCCCCTGGGGACAGGGCCTAGGAGAAAGAGGTGATCTTTATGGACAGCTTCTGCCCCCATTGGGGTGTCCCCAAGACCCAGTGTTGGTGAGAATTGAACAAGTGAAGAGAAAGGAGGCAGCTCATTGGTTTGACCCATTGCTTTAAAAAATGAAACACTTCTACCTTGGGTGGCCAGATTGTGTTGGGGTGCAAAACCACAGGATCAGTACAATGCCTTCCTAGAGGAGCAGAGGTATTACCCAGATGTTTGACATAACATATTTTTAAAAACCTTTAAAAATTGATTTTAGAGTGAGAGATAGAAACTTCGATGAGAGAGAGAGACATTGATTCACTGTCTTTTGCACACCCCCTATTGGGGATGGAGCCCACAACCCGGGCATGTGCCTGACCAGGAATCGAACCGTGACCTCCTGATTCATGGGTTGATGCTCAACCACTGAGCCACACTGGCCGGACAACACAATCTATTTTATATTAAAACAATGATGACATATATTGTAGTAACATACCCACAAACGTGAGAGGCAAAGCAGGAGAATCCTAAAAAGGG